TTCATTCCTACCCTTTGATTGAACTCGCCGTGCCCAAGCTTCGGGGATTAAGCTTCTTGTTAGGGGGAGAGGATGTGACACCCCGTAAATCCAAACACTAATCGAGGATTAATTGAAGAATTAATCCAAGTTTCCTTGCTAATCTAGTCGAGGGACTAGATTTTGACTAGTCACTTAAGTCAAAAGGGTGTACCTTGTGCTTCTTGAGTTGTGCCCTTGTTCCCTTGTCTTCCCAACAGTAGTAAGGGTAAATATGTCTTTCCACCTATGAATTGTGATTCAAGCTAACCTAGCAAGACTCTCCATTTCATTCATCCTTTCAACCTAAAACACAAACACTCTAGCCTCTCTCTAAAATAATTTAGCTTCTTCTCCAAGAAAGAAATTGAGCATCCAAACCTTGCAAGATTCCTACTTTCTCCTTCTTGAGCATAGGAAAGGGTAAGATCCTTAGCTTTTTGGTGTTTTTAACCTTCTTTTAGGTGTCTTTTTCTAAAGTTAGGATCTTTGTTGTGTTTTGGTTGTGTAAGAAGTTGGTGTGGAAGAGGAGCTCTAGGAAAAAGGTTATTAAGGGTGGAAAGAAGAAGTTGTTAGACTACAAAGGTAACCCATGCTATACAAAACCTTTTTTTTTTTTTTTTACTTATATGATGATTCTTGGCTTCTACTTGTGATTCTTGTGTTGATTTGTGAGATTTGATGCATGATCTTGTGGTGATGCATGTTTAGAGCTTGTTCTTAGGGTTCTTGAATGGCATTGCTTGGCTATATCTTGGGTTCAAGTCATATTATTGTTGTGTGTGAGATTTTGGGTGTTTTGGGCTTGAACTTGGCCTTATTGTTGAAAAACACCGAAGGGAAATTTTGGTGTACAGGAGTGTACCCACGGGTGGAACGGCGTGTAGAGGCCTACCTGCCGCCCCACTCGCGGGGTACGCGGTGACTCTCGTGGGGTTGTACCCACGGTTGGAGGTCCACCCGCAGGGTACATTATTGGTGACGGGCAGGGATTTGTTCCCCATGATTCTTTCTTCTCGGTATTGATGTTTTGACCTCTCGTTGTTGTTTTAATGGGCTATTTGTGAGTCTTCTTGATGTTTCGTGTGTCTAGAACGGTGTGTTAGGAATCCATGTAGGATTTGGTGTCTTGAATCATGCTAAGGGTCCAACTTTGTGATTCTTGGGCTAATATGAGTCTTGAATGTTCTTTGGAACTAATTTTGGTTTACCAGTTGATGAGCATGCTAGTTTGATGTTGATATGCTTGTATGTGCGGTTTGTTCTTTCGTATGGAGATTGGCAACTTGTGTTGACAATCATTTGGTGTTAGATTGGAATCCTTTGTTGTTGAGTATGGTCTCATGTCTTTATTGTGATCTCTTGATTGATTCCTATGATGTGATCATATGCAAATCGTTGTACCTTTTTGTTGATACTTGATTGAGGTTATTGTTGAACCTTAGTCCTCTTGGTAATGATGATGACCTTGTGTGACTATGATTGAGATTGATGGTTTGTTACTTGAGCTTTGCTCACGAGATTGGTGGTTTTGTGTTTATGATATTTAATGGTACCCTCGTGTACTGAGAGATCGGTGGTGAATAGGAGTGTCGGCGGGGGACGACGGTCCCAGGAGGTAAAAGGTTGGACTTAGAAGTACATGGTGGCACTAGGAGGTAATGGTTGGAACCGAAATAAGGTTGGGGGTAGCCATAAGGTTGGAACAAGGCATATGGTTGGAACTATGAAACTTGTGACATGTAGTTGTCACTGTGTGAATGTGATTTCCTTGCTTATGAGCATGTCTTGATTTGTTCTGCCTTGTGAATGGTAGGATACACCCTGAGTTGTATTGTCTATGTTGTTTGTGGTCTTGTCTTGGTTATGAGGTTGATGATCCTCGTTTTATTGAGAGTGATCGATGACTCTTTGATGTTGACTTCTTTCCTTGGTTTTGAAATGATATATATAGTATTCCGTTTCAAATGGTTTTGATTATATCTATATTATACTATGCTATTTGACGCGTATTGATGGGTTACCAGCGTTATTCGCTGACCGGGTGTTATCCCTTGACTTTTACAGGTTTTGAGTAGATGCTGAGCGCGCTAGATGTGGACTTTAGATAGTATTGATCCCATGCTAGACATTTGTCTTTTGTTGGCTTGTGTGCCGTAGAATTGTTATTGTCTTGTTAGATTGTTGTTGACTAGCCTGTGCACCCATGGTTTATAGGTGTGGCATAACATCTCTCCGATTTTAATTAAGTTTCCGCTGTTGTTTATCTTGATGATTAGATGTTTACCTTTGAAATGAAGTTTTGAAAATGTTGAAAAATCGGGGGTGTTACACGTTGCACTTATTAGAAGGCCATTACTGCCTATTATTATAGGTTTTACCATTATACTGTATATGTAGATGATTCTTGGATGAGGAGGGGGACACGTTCAAGACTATATACTAAGACACACGCTCAATACTCGGTACTAAGACGCACTCATTATCTTGTACTCAAACCTATTGCAACACAACTTACATTGTCTCAGTTACATAATAATATTATCCGGTAACATATTTACCGTCATTGGTGCTTTCATTGAGAGCCTGAGTCCAACACTCAAGCAGGCAACGACACACATAACTCATTCCCTCTTTCAACAGCAAGGTTGAAAGAATGGCATCCCGCAGCTCCCACGGTTCCCGCAACGTGAACAACGGCAATGCCTCAGGTGACCTCCGGGACCAACTCACCAACAATCGTGGAGGGGACCTTCGAGAATAGCTCAACAACGGGAGGCCCGGGGACCTTCGAGACCAACTCAACAATGGAGGGGCAAACCAAGCCGTGAACCTCCAGGCGACCGCCGAAGCCATTCAGCAAGCGACGACGGTGCTAAATCAAGTGACAGCGGGATTGCAGGGCCAAGTGGCCCCGCCACGACCTCAGGAAATAAAGGCAGAGTCCCCGCGGAGGATAGATATCCAGCAACGACAGGACGCAACCCGTGTAGCGAGGGATGCATGACGTCATACCAGGACAGGGGGTCCAGAGGAGGGCACCCAAAGAAGTGGACCAGCCAGACGGCAACCGGGACCCTCCCGCTCTACCCTTGAACGAATGGGACACGGGGCGCCCGCACGGCAAAGGTTGGGATCACGGGCTGAGGGGTCCTCTACCAGAGGCCCTCGTCGGCACGAAAATAAGGAAGCAGAGAGATCACCCACAGGGAGGATAGGCGAGTCTCGTGAGCCGGCCCCGTGTCGGCACGGTGGTGAGTTGGCCCTGCGTCGACACTCGGATGAGCTGCACGTTGATGAGTGGGCTCCACGCCGACACTGGGATGGACGACACGTCGATGAACCAGCTCCGCAAACACTCGGATGGACGGCACGTCGATGAGCCGGCTCCACGCCGACACTTGGACGAGCAACACGTCGATGAGCCAACTCCACGCCGACAGATGGATGAGCGGCGGCCGGGCCCACGCAGGCACCCTGATCAGTCGGCCCTGGTTGAGAGGCTGCAAAGAAGAATCGAGGAGTTAGCAAAGAGGGTGGAGACACGGGAGCAGTCGCTGGAACCTTGGGTACGGATGACAGCACTATTTTCCCCGAGTATAATGGACGTACCTTTGCCGAGGGACTTCAGGTTGCTCGCCATCAAAGCGTACACGAGGACCACTGACCCGCGTGTCCACATGACGAGATATAAGGCTGCTATGCTTATGATCGGGGCGGGGGATGCCGTTATGTGCCGAGCATTCTTGCCCACCTTGGATGGAGCGACTCAAGACTGGTTCAACACCATCCCGGATGGGTCGATCCAAAATTTTGGAGAATTGTCCAAGAGCTTCCTGATATACTTCTCCAGTAGCATACAACGTAAGAAACCCTTCTCTCACCTCTGCGTAGTAAAGCAAGATAGAGGCGAGAGCCTCAAAGACTTCCTGAACAAATGGAAAAAGGAAGTCAATAATGTCACGACTTCGACTCCAAGGCGGCGATCCTGATATTTATCCATGCCTTAAGATCGTGGTATTTCCACAAGCAGCTGAACGCCCACCACCCCAGCTCTTACGAAGATCTGATGAGGACGGTCAGCCGCTATGCCGAAGCAGAGGATGTCGACAGGAAGAAGAAGGACGAAGAAGATGGTAGAAAGGGTGGGAAGCCTGGGAAAGCTGGTCCGCCCAGCCAGGCACCACGCTCGAACCACTCGTCCGCAGGGAAAGGCCGAGACCACGAACGACCTCTCTTGGTCCCCCTGCGTAATTTAAACCCTCTTACCCATCCCATCAGTGTCATTCTAACGCAAGCTGAGGAGATGGGAATAGTAGATGTAACACCCCGTGTTACGACCTTCAAATATGAATTAATTATTAAATTAATCCCGCTAATTAAAATAATTAAAAGGGATTTAATCCAATTATAATCTCCTTAATTAACTTAGGTGGTCCACAATGGATCGTGGACCCTTACCTGAACAAGGAACCTTAAACCCATAGGGAATGGGGGAAAGCGGGCCTTATTACTCAGACCTTGAATAGGTTTCTCTTAGACATATAAATACACTAGTACAGAATTGCAGATACGCTACCATTGTAAAAGACAATAGGAAACCATTGTACAATGGTTGCCTATGAGAGGCTCGCGGAAAGGCATCGACTTTACGCGACCATTGTGAAATGGTCGCGCATTGTTAGTAATACGCAACCATTATTGACAAAGAATGGTCGTGTATTGTATTTATTTATTTATTTATTTATTAATGCTAAACGCGACCATTTTAAGCTAGAAATGGTCGCGTTTTCCTTTTTTTCATTTTTTTATTAATTAGTCATCCGCGACCGTTTTAAGCTAGAAACGGTTGCGGATGACTTTTTTTTTTTAATAATTTATTTTAATTAAAATCCCTAATTTTTTTTTTTATTCCTGTACCTATTACAACTTAAAATCCATATTAACATTACTCCACAATACAATTTATCCATCAACACACTTTAAAACAATACAAATTACTATGGTACTTGTAAAGAACAATAAATGAAATTACATATGAGGTCTTTGTTGCAAATGAAATGAGCATAGAACCTTATCATTTCCTGCTATTTGTTTAAATTAAACACCAACTATAACAAAAAATATGGTAGCAGAGTCAATAAAAGATTTGTGGCAAGGAGCTTCTCTCACTCGAAATGATGAGGTAAATGATGCAGCATGGGCTTCAAGAGCTTGACTACGTTGCTGATCCACTGATAATAGTTGCATATTTCCTTTGACAAGTTGGGGCTTCTGTTAACACAAACAAAAAAGGGAATATTAAAACCAGCAAACCACAACATATATAGGCTATTTACAAAATGAGAACCAGAAAGCATATCAATTAGATATACTGGTTTCAAATTCATTATCAAAATAAACTTAAAAGACCAATGGAGGATTTTAAAAAGATGGGAAGGTGAGTACAAATGTGGACAAGTACAAGGCAGAAAGATGAGTAAAAGAATACATGAAATTGAATAAAACAAGAATCAACTTGATTAAAAAAAATATGAATTATGAGTTTGTGAAGAAGCCTTGTGGCAACAGCTCCCGGGTTGCTGCTTCTTGAAAAATAGGGTTTTTCTTCTTATTTAACCTAATGTCTTTTAATATTTTTAGAATTTGACCCACCTACTTTTTGGAATAGATAAGCCACAAAATAAGCTGGGCCAAACAAGTACTAAGTTAATAGAAAGATGATAAGAGATTTCTCCACATGTACATGAAATAAACAACTCTAAAAAAATAACAATTTAATCAAGCATGCGGCTCCAACAAGGTTCAATGACCACACCAACAAAGGAAAGGAAGGCATACCTCAGGGTTCAAATCATTGACCTTTTCAATAGCATCCTCAACGTCACCACATTATACTGCCTTTTTCACAGCCACCCAGTCAGTAATGGTTGCAAGATCTATGTCAGCTGGTTATTCATAAGGAAAAACAAAATTCTTACATGTACACAGCAACTAAATAAAGATGATATAAGGATACGTTCTGTCCCAGATTCCTTTCTGAATTTCTCTGCTACTTCCACATAACCCTCAGTGACTAGGAAGTTCATCACTAGTTTATTCATGTCCTCTTTTCTAATCCTAACATTGTTCAGCTTCTTCTCCCACTCTTATCTTGTGATTACTTTCTTAGACATTGCCTATAACAAGTAATAGATTATATAAATTCAAACAGAAATGCATAGATGCAAGTATGCAACATTATAACCCAGAAGTCTCTTCCACCCCTGATGTAAGAAAAAAAACAGTCTAAAATTAACATTAGTATTTCAATATTGCAACCTAAAAGTACTAAATAAAATAGTAAAATGATGAGTACCACTTCTCGTCTCCCCATTTCGAAATGTGTATGCCCCATACCCTTGTTTGCGCCCCTCGTGCCATGACCCATTATAAATATCTAATTACGGGGAAAACACCTATCCAAGCTATCATAGCTGAACCATTTTCTTTCTCACAAGAAACTATATCATAATTGACTACCCAAAATTAACCTATACATCTCATATGCAGAAAAATCGCCACAGTGCATGAAATACAGGTTATCAGCATTAATAATAAATAATCAAATGCACTGCACAATTTAGTTTTCTTTCACAAGCACAAAGAAAATGCCTCTTATGCACTCCTAGATAGATGATAAAATCAGGTTAATTACCGAGGATCCAACTTGAGTCTGGCAATCACTCAAATTCTTGTATACTCCAATAAGATCTCCTTTCTTGATAACAAAGAAACCGTCTCTCTCTTCCTTCATTACTGGGGGAGAAGCAGGAGCAGGCTTGGACTTGCGCGATCGACAATTCTTTCCCCGAGACTCTTTAGATGAACAAAACCTGATGCAAACACTATTCAGAGACAAGTTAAAATTAGAGCTTCTAATTCCATCATGGTTGACACTTGCCTTCCAAGGGAAAACTGAGAATTTGCAAATTGAACTCCTCCCTACAAGACAGGTAGTCTTAGATAATGCAACAACAACAGTACATGCATGAAACAAGCTGTTCATTACACATAACCTTCCTCAGATTCCACCAATCCCTGCAGAAAACCAACAAAAAGTAATATTCACCATTCAACAGTTAAATGTAGAGTTCATAAGTACAATAATTTGACTTGCTTATAAATACATTTTCCAGCTTAGTATAGGAAAAGTCATCTGATTATCCACAATTCCACCAAGGCTCAACCTTTATCATTAAAACAAACCTCCTTTTCCCATTTTTTTTTTAGGTTAAAAAGATAAGAAAAAATAGTCTTCTTCATAATCCATTTCTCTTCTTAAGCCTTCATTAAAAAATAACACCTAAACAAACCTCCCCATTTCGTGCCATGATAAAGAGATCATAAGATGGTAAAATAATGAGGAAGCATAATAATAGTTGAAAGGCATAACTCACCTCCAAAACCTAAATTAAGATTTAAGAATGAGAAGAATAGTACCTTTGTACTCCATCCCCCACTTGAGTTCCACCATGACAGGCTTTCCAGTTAAATTGTTCAAGAATGGCTTGGGATTAACTGGTACAGTCTAGAACAAGAATGTAATAAAAAAAATTCAGAATCAGTCTTCACTTCAGTCTGATTTCAATTTGGGAATATTGAAAACTTCTTAGACAGAGTAAGAGAACTCGAGCTTATTTTATTTATAACCAGATACATATACTTTCATCTAATGGTACACAAATGTGTAGAATGGCACAATAGAAATTAGGAGGTAATAGACAAATATAACAAAAATAATCAAAACTTAAAATAATGTAATCGTCACAGATCAAAAATTTGAAATATAACAATATAATTAGTCAAATATATTTACAATTAAATACCTGTTGTATTATATGTAGTGCAAATTGGCTTTCACTGTATCTCCTTAGAAAGTTTGAGAAAATAAGCTAAAGATTTCCCTTAAGGACTTGAAGCAGCTATATTTCAAACTTACAGACTACAATTATTCAATCATTACCTCACAGACCTTCAGAATGAATTGCAGAGTGAAGTGAGAGTATGATGGCTTTAGTAAAACTAGAAAAATGAAGAAAGTAATGACCAAAATGACTATAACAATAATGATTACAATATAAGAACAGTAATATTTGACCTTAGGATATCATCTCCAATTTCCAAAGTAATACAAATGTTTCTTCTTCTAAATCTCTGTACTTTGACATTGTTGCACCTTTTGACCTGTGTAAATCAGAAAAAAGATAAAGCTCAGCAATGAAAAGTGTAATAGTAACAATTGTTCTAAAGTTTAAACAAGCACATAGGAGAGATGGTGTTTCGTAGGTTGAGCTATGGAGTCTATACTTGATAGTAGTTGAGAAATAAAAGCCTGCACCCAACAGTTAATAAGTTTTGGTAGAACTGATAGCATTAAAACTAATAATGCTAATTTGACTAAGAATTGCATAATAAAACGCATACGATGACAAAAACTAAACTTAATCTAGAAACAACTAAACCAGCTTGCAAAAAATCCAACTCTAGCCGAAACACAACAGATTAGGGCTGTTTTCCTCAACAGTTTGCTATTTCTGAGATATTTCTACTTGAAAATCAATGACAATAAGAGCAGAGAGAAGGAGAAAGCATGATAAATCTTACAGATATGGCTTTGGGGTAAGGAGGATTGACATCTTGGCCGTCGATCAAAGCTTCCGATGCCAGAAAAGGAATCGCGATCAGAACCAAACAAAGAGCTGCGAAGCTAAGCGATCGAATCCTCGTCGGAACCATGCGGCCGGAGAAGTTACGCGCTACGGAATTCCAGAACGCAGGGGACGAGAGCTAGCGAGAGAGAGAGAGAGAGATCATAAAGAGAAATGAGAAATATCTTTGCAGAATTTCATCGACCACCAACCGAACAAAATATTTATTTTAAAAACTTACCCGTCTAGATCTGAGCGGTTGACGACCTCCATTGAAAGCTCCCTGTCGCGTCGCAGAAGGGAGGGGATTTTGAGAGAGAGTGGGATTAGAGAGAAGATATTCTCTCTGTGTCGCATCGTAGACCTCCATCGCAAGCTCCCTCCGTTGCGGTGGATGTGCGTCGACGGTGGTGGCCGGTGCGCGATGTCGAGGTGGTGGCAGTGAACGGTGGTGGCGGTGGATGTTGTGGCTATGGGTGGCAACGGTGGCGGTGAGACGATTGGTGCGACGGCGGATCGAAACGACTGTGGATGAACTTGCTTTAGATCTGATGAGATGCGATTTTGATCTAGATAGTAGATCTAGGGTTAATATTAGGCAACCATTTCTATTAGAAATGGTTGCCTATTATAAAACAAGTTCTATTTTAAGGAAACCATTTCTATTAGAAACGGTTGCCTATTATAAATCAATTTTTTTAAATAAATACAAAATACAATGGGCAACCATTATAGCTAACAATGGTGGCGGATTATTGATTACTTATTTACAAAATTGCCACCGCGAATTTTTAGGCTAAGATTAGGCAACCATTCTTTCAACAATGGTGGCTTGTGGTCAATCTTCTATGTTCAATTTTGTACTAGTGATAGGAGATTAGGAAGCAGATGGAACCCTTCCTCTCCCTTCCCTCACACGGAATCACTCACAGGAACCCCAGCCAAGGAATTCTCCCACCAACTAGCCTAGGGAGGACAATCGGAAGAAGAATTTTAGAGAAGAACCTTAGTAGCCAAGGATAGTGAATAGGGCTAAGAGGTAACCCATGTCTCGACAAAATCTATTTTCCTCGCTATATCTTATTCATTGGCTCCTTTGATATATGACTCTGTGCTTCAGTCATGATAGAGCTTTGCCTAGGGTTTATATTGTGTTTATGTGATAATCTTGGTGTTTATGTGATAATCTTGATGCTTATGTGATAATCTTGACGTTCTTGATACTATGATAAATTATATGAATGATTTGTATTTTGATTTTGTCTATAGCCCTAGGATTATAACGTGGATTTCGTATTATGATATTCTTGATATATTTGGGTGGGATTATGCATGATCAGGTGTTGAGTCTAGCCTAGGACTTGTGTTTTGGACTTTGCATATAGATTTCTTGATGTTCTTGTGATTCCAGATGTCCCTGGATCGTTATGTGATTTATGTTAAGTCTTGGCATGTTTAGGAATCGTGTTAGGTATATTTGGTGTGATTCTTAGTTTAAATCCGTTACTTGAATATGTGGTGTTGTCGTTATGTGTTTGAATGTGTTTGGACATGGTTTCAGGTTCCACGAGAGATCCCGGAACCAAAAGTTGCCTGCGTATCAGTGGGGGGACTGACCACCCGCCACCTATCCGCTGCCCGCAACACTGTTCCAGCGGGCAGTCGGCGGGCGGTGGTCTGCCCGCCGGCCTCCCTCTGGAATAGTGACTGGCCGCCGGCGGGTGGTCCTCCACCCACCACCTACCCGCTGGAATCCCGGCGTGGTTCGTGGTGTTTTTCCCCGTGTCCCGTTGTACCCCGTTTGTCGTGTATGAGTCTCGTTTGGTGTTTTAGGCATCGTTCTAGGATTTTATGTGTGATACGTGTCATTGTTGTTGTGTCTTGCTTGTTATGTGATTATGTGTTGATTGATTGGAAGATGATGAGTATCGTGGTCATTGCACAATGGCCAGTGTGACTGATGATGATAATGATGATGATGAGATTGTGATTGGTGGAAAATAAACTGTTGGCGGTTGGCACCACTTGTGCCCGGTCATTGTACTAAAGGTACAGGCCATAGCGGTGACTGTGCTAAAGGCACACACCCACCTTCGACTTGCTTGCTTTAGGCATGGGTCAGGTTATAAGTGCTGCGGTGTCATGTTAGAGCTATATGCGCTAACCCTTGATTTTGGCACTAGAAGTGCGGATCATTGAATGGCATTGCGGCACCATCTTGATATGTTGGTGGTTGAAAGGTGGGTTCGTCGGTGGGGGCATGTAGTTGCCCGAAGGCATAAGGGGTGGGGATATAAGGGTGGCCTGGAGGTATAGGTTAGAACTGATATAAGGACGGAAGGAAGCTACAAGGTTGGAACTTGGTATAAGGTTGGAGGATGAATTGTGTGCTTTGTTGACTACGTGCTAATTGGTTGTATTGAATGCCTTAGTTATTTGCATGCTTATCTGCCTGTTATGTCTTGCATTGCATGTTTAAGACGTCTATTAGTTCTTATGATTATTCTATGATATTGAGTCCGTTAATATGCCTTGAGTCTTGATCTTGGATTTAAACTAGAGTCTCGTAAGTATATATGTATTCCACTTTCAAAATGAGTTTCTTATATCTACCTATATTGTACTTAACGCGTTAGAGTGGGTTACCAGCATTATTCGCTGACGGTTGTTACACCGAATGTTTTTCAGGGACAGTGAGTAGCTTCGGAGCGCGCTAGGGGATTCGTGGACTTAGTTTAGACAGTTCTAGCCTGGATGAGATGGCCTGCGTGCCTTGATTTGGATTTGGGTATTAGTTATGATTTATGCTTTGTTAGTAGTTTAGCCTGTGCATCTGAGTTCTCCAGCTCAGATGTGGCATAGCATCCCGACTACTATGTCTAGTTTATGCTCTGTTTGGGAATTAATAAGAGATTAGCCTTTATTTTATAGGTTTTAAATATCTTGAAATTTAGGGGTGTTACAGTAGAATTCCCGCCATAGTGCATGATAGTATCCCCAAATGCAGACCAAACAAAGTACTGCAGGTTTCATAGGCGAGCCGGCCACGATACGGATGAGTGTCACGTTTTGAAGAGACAAATAGAGGAACTCATTCAAAGGGGATACTTCACTCATTTTGTGAAGCAACCAGGGCAACGACAACAGCATCGGCAACAAGGCCAACCTGTGAACAAAAACATGTGGCGAGAGGGAGAGGGCCCTGAGCCATCTTCCTCAGACACAAAGAGGGGGTACGACCAGATCATGGAAGAAGGAGACAAGGAGCTAGAGGTGGAACCCGTGCAGCGCAAAAAACATGTTATTCGCTAAAACACGACAAGATCAACAATATAATTATTGATGTAACTATTGTTCATGGTCCGCCCTAATCAATTGTGTTGAATAAGAGGAAAAATTCCATGGAGCCCTCGTGTTAGTAAAGTGGGAGGCATGTCCGAAACAAATAAGAGAGGCCACGCGCCTCGGCCTCTACCATGGTCCCCGGCTATGGTAGGGGAAGCGGTGCTCCGATTCTAAAAAAATAAATAAAATAAAAATAACAATAATATTAATTACCGCATTCTACTCCCTAAGGGTCGACACTGGATCTGTTCCAGCTAGCTAATCGACGGAAGGACGTTTCTTGGTCAAACTCAAAGTTTGGTTACGAAAACGTTATACCCTGAGGAATAGTACGGGGTCTAACCTCGTTCAGTACTCTACTGAAGAGCCAACCTCTGACCGAGCTTACAGCCTGTCGAAGTAAGCTACGAAAAAACATACAATTTAAAAAAAAAAACATGATGCCGGAGCCCGTCTCGGCCACGATCGGTCGAGGCGACGCCTCGGCTACGATCGGCCAAGGCGACGCCTCGGCCACGATTGGTGGAGGCAACGCCTCGGCCAGGATCAGTCGAGGCGACGCCTCGGCAACGATCGGTCGAGGCGACGCCTCGACCACGATCGACCAAGGCGACGACTCAGCCACGATCGGTTGAGGCGCGCGCCTCGGCAACGATCGGCCAAGGCGACGCCTCGACCACAGTCGGCCGAGGAACGCCTCGGCCACGATCTGCAAAGGCCCGCGCCTCGGCCTCGATTGGTCGAGGCGACACCTCGGCCACGATCGGTCGAGGCTGTGACACCCCGTAAATCCAAATTCTATTTAGGGATTAATTGAGTAATTAGTCCTAATTTATTGGTAAATTATTCTTTAAATTCCTGAAAATTCAATAGTCGAGGACTAGTAATTGACTAGTCAACCCAAGTCAATGAGTTGTACTCTAAGCTTTGTGAATAATTCCCTTGTTCCCATACACTTTTCCATCTTAGTAAGGGTAATGAAGACATTTCACCTCATGATTGTATCCCAAGCTAACCTAGAGTTGTCTTTCATTCTTTCCCTAACACTCTCAAAACAAAAGCTCCTCTTTCTCTCTAGAATTTAGCTAGCTTCTTCTTCAAGCCAAGTTTGGGCATTCCAAGACCTTCCAAGTTTGTCTCCAAGATTCCACATTTCCTACTCTTGAGCATCTAGGAGGGTAAGATCTTTGGCCCTTTAGTGTTTTTAGTTCTTTTAAAGGTATCTTTTTATAAAGATGAAATCTTTATGGCTTGTGGTGTGTTCTTGAAGTAGGTGTTGAAGGAGAGCCTTGTTAGAATCTTGTAAAGGTGTAATAAGTGAAGGTTTAGGCTACAAGAGGTAACTCATGCTTTACAAAATCTATTTTACTTACCTATATGGTGATTTCTTGGATTCTACATGTGATTTTTGCTATGAAATGTGAGTGTTGATGCATTGTCTTGTGAAAATGCATATCTAGAGCTTGTTATTAGGATTCTTGTATGCCATTGCTTGGCTATTCCTTTGATTCAAGTCATATTGTTGTATTTTGTGAGATTTTGGGTGTTTTGGACTTGAATTTAAGCTTGGAGTTGAAAATCCCCGAAGGGATATTTTGGTACAGGGTAGTGTACCTGCGGGCGGAACGGCGGGTAGAGCTCTACCCGCCGCCCCACCCGTGGGGTACATGGCTCGTGGAACTTGGTTCCCGCGGGCGGATCCAAGGGTGGGGATCCACCCGTGGCTCTACCCGCGGGGTACAATGGTGGTTTGTTTTGGGATTTGTTCCCCATGATTCTTTTGACTCGGTAATTGATGTTTTGACTTCCCGATGTTATTTTGATGGGCTTTTGAGTGTCTTCTTGATGTTTTGTATGTCTAGAACTATATGGTAGGAATCCATATAGGTTTTGGTTTCTTGAATCGTGCTAAGTGTTCAACCTTGGGATTCGTTGAACCATGATGAGTCTTGTATGTTCTTCGGAACTGTGTTTGGTTTACCCGTTTGATAAGCATGCTAGTTTGATGTTGAAATACTAGCGTGTGTGGTTTGTTCTTTCCTATTGTGGATGATAACTTGTGTTGATCATCGTTGTTGTCGGATTGTAATCCTTCTTTCATTGAGTATGGTTTCATACCT